CATCAACTTGGGAAAGGCAAGGCCAGGGTGGCTTGGCTGCCCACCTTGTGGCTGGCTGAAGTAAAAGAAATTAATAAGTTTTTAGTAAGGAGAGATTTGAGAGAATGTACTGGCTGAAGGAAGTACTTTGATCTTCTTGGTGCATGGCTTGCCCTCAGGATCAGCCTGGATGGGGGTACAAGAAATGGTTAGGTCATCCAGATGACAAACCAATAGATCAAGTTTGGAAGCTGTGACTTACATTAGCTCAGTGCTTGTAAGTACAAGAGGCTGACAGACCTATCATTCTGATGTTGGTATCCTTGGCATGACAGCAAAGCTGTTGAAAGCCCAGCAGAAGTAAGGGAAGAGTGAGAAAAAGAAAGAAAAGAAGCTTACTTCTTGAAGCCCCTTTTAGTGAGCATCATGACAACAGCTTTCAATAGCAATGATGGCATCAGCAAAGGAGAAGAGTGATTTGGCAGGGGCAGAGTTGTTGCCAATAAACTGATCCAGAGTATTTGACTGAATAAGAGAAGAAAGAGCATCAAACAAGCCCTGCTGCTCAGTGATCTGGGGAAGGTCTGCCTGGTCTGCAAAAATCTATGAGAAAGAGTAAGAGTAAACAGGAATAAGAGAAAAGAAAGAAGGATTGGGGCACACCAGGTTTACTGCACTAATAAAGTGTGTATGGTCAGCTGCACCAAGCAGAAGGGCTTTTGCAGCAGAAATATGGCCCATAAGAGCACTGGCAAGGGCAGGATAGTGAAGGATGGCCACTATAACATCACCTGTGGATTGCTTGACTGAACAATTGAACAATGCTATATGGTCAGGAGGCTCTGAGGAAATGGCTGGCAAAGCAACAGCTGCACAAGGTGCAGTGGGTGGCTTGCAAAAAGGAGAAGTGGGAGGCATGAGGATGGAGGAAGGAAAACAAGAGAGAGATCTTATAAGACAAAAAAAGACAAGATTGAGGTTGAAATTTGCATAACAGAGCATCTGAGACATAAAGAATTTTTTAAAGTATATTGTTGAAAATTTGAGGTGGATAGAAGGGCGGAAAATTCTTGATTGATCTATGCTAAAACATGCTGACTGAGGGCAGTCAGTAAAGTGTGGGGGAGGTGTTATGACAGTTCACACTATAAAAATAAAAGAAAGTAAATTCCCTATATACCCAAACAATGCTGCAAATTGTAAGCATAGAAAGAAAAACCAAAAACTGTAGGCAAAAAGGGGAACTTACTATAAGTCAATGCACCAATGAACCCACAGACAAAAGGCAGCAGTAAAAAAAAGCTAGAAAGAAGTCAATAAGACCTCAACATGTCAATGATCAAAATTGATCATTACTGATAGCCAAGGCTTGCTTGATGGGTGGCAGTGCCAGCTCAGGCCAGTTACTGCTTAACCAATACCAAGCTAGTTGCCCCTGCCCTTTCTGCTCAACAAACTCCCCTACCTCCCTCAAATTAATGTACAAATGACTGTCAATTAAGTCTATAGGAGAGAGGGAGGTTAGTGAGGTAAAGAGAGGAGAACAAGGATGGAAAATGAGTGAGGGAATAGGGGCTGCATTGGTGCCAAGCACATAGAGCCTCAAAAATTGTTGGTGTTGGGCACTGAACAACTGGAATGATGACAGAAGGCCACATGGGGCATCATGGTCCATGTGCAAGTAGAGCAGTATAAAGGGGAGGTGGGATTTTGAGGCCATCAAGCAACATTTGGCATGCAGCTTGGAATCTCCAGGGAGCAGATTACTTAGGCCCATAATGTGAACTGAGCTTTGATTGAGGTTTTTTTTGATAATTGAACCTGTTATTAGTTTGAACTTTCATTTGAACCTATACTTAAAATCAATCTAAATCAATATATCTACTACAATACAAAAGTTGTATGATTTTGAGTGAATCTTGAGCCCTCAAACTTGTTGAGTTGTAGTTGTTTGGTTCAGTCTCTAATACAAATAAAACCAAATAATTCAATTTCGCATCAATATTGTGCTGATGAGGATGGAGCAATCAACAGCATCCTTGCTGATAACACAAATAGTATGTGTCTGTTTTTCATCATTTGAAGGGTGAAAACTCCACATTGCCTTGATATCAGTGAGAGTCTTGTAAAAACAGAAGCATGAATACAAAAAGTCAAATTGCCTATCAACAAAACTAGATTGCTGTCAGAGAAGCAAACAGAATTGACTTTGGATAGTATTGGATTGGTGCCCAGGGGGATATAGCATGCAGGTAAGGGAAAAAGAGACATTGTGGTAGGGAGACAAAAATGTTTAAACTGTTTGATGTTCAATTGAGATACAGATGCAAAAGGGGCATATGGAACATCTGTTATAAATCACATGTAACATACAACATGGAGGGTACAAGTGAAAATAGAATACAAACCTGACCAAAGAAATGGCTCCTACAGAAAGCAGATTTAAAAAAACTAAGGAAAAACAAATAAAAAATAAAAAATAAAAAGGAAAAAAGGAAAAAAGGAAAAAAGGAAAAAAGGAAAAAAGGAAAAAAGGAAAAAAGGAAAAAGGAGTACCCAGAACCAATGGGCCCCCTGGATCAATGGTCTGCACCACTTATCTGAATCAACCTTGAACTTTTTTTTGGATAGAAGTGCAAGAGCCCACTACAGAATAGCAGGAAAATAATAACAATTCCCATGCAGCAACCTGTAAGTTTAGTGGTGCAGCAGCACATCCAACAATGGAACTAGAGTGCTGACATTCAATGCACATCATTGACCCTGTTCTTAACAGGTGATGGTTTTTTCCCCTCCTAGAATGATTCTCTCATTGAGCTGTTGAGCAACAAGCTTCTGATTTTCAGCAGGAAGCTTGTGGCCATCACCAGCACTCGAGGGAAGTGGGATATTTTGTTATATCTGACAGGACAGAGATGCTTTTGGTTTGCACAACCCTTACCACTTCTACAAGGCTAAAGCTCATAATATCCAATTTTATGAAGACCAATCAAGGCAGACATTCTAATCAAGCAGTCTGCACAACAAAATTGCAGCTTATGACTAAAGCCAGCAAATGTGCTGGAAGAGCTGATCTTGATATGCTGTGAGTGCTGAGCAATGTTCTGAATGAATCTCTTCTCAAGTAAGTTGCATCAGAAGTTTTTGATTCATTCAGAAAAAGAACCCCAGAAGTAAATATCTGCAATTGTTTCACCACCTTGCAAGATTATTGCAAGATTATTGTCCTGGGCAATTCACAAGGAAAAAATAAGTGGTAGTCAGCTCAATGATGAAAACATAAGATAACTGTTTGTTTTTCCTTGCAATTGCTCTGGGTGGATTATGTGCAAGATGCATTAGAGGAAAATTATGGATGAGGAGTGATGAATTTCAATGTCACAGGGTTCCAGGACCCCAAGATACCTCAGAAATTGCTACCAACCTATGTCTGATGGAATGTTCAAAGGAAACCTGATTTGTAAGCAGGCAAGAATCATGATGCTCAGAACGGCATCTAATGCGGTGACTTAAAACCTGTCATGTGCAGTTTTCTTCATTGTCTACATTGCAGTTCTTGGTTGAAAGCCATGTCAACAAAGGCAACAAAATCAATGGTCCAACCAATCATCCTATATGACATTTTGAATGCCAAAGGAAAGGAATGCTGGTCCCAAAATAAGTGGCGTATCTGGTGCGATGAGCTGCTTGATTATTGGAATTTGTTATTCTTATCTGATTGTCTAGTATGGCACTGAATTATAAATAGATCTCCTACACAACCAAGTGGGTTGAGTACCCTGACATTGGCAAGGTCAGAAAGAGATAAGAGATAAGCCTACGATGCCATGTCCAGATGGGAGCGGCATTATATTATGGACGTGCCCGATGATTGTCAATCCAAACCATCTTGACGCCGATGGCAAACCAACAGTGGTTTCAGATTCACCAGTGATTATCAATTATCTCGACAAAGTCCATCCTGAGATCAAAGTGATCCCAGACGGAGTGGCGGCACTGCATAGCGCATGGCTACCTTTTATTAGCCAAAATGTCACTGTGAAGCTTTCTAGTTTTTGCCCCAATATCCTTTCCCCTCGGAGCAAGGAGTATTTCATTACCATATGTGAAAAGTGGTAGGGTCCTCTTGACAAGATGTGCTTCGATCGTCTTGAGGCGTGGAAGGATGTTCAGGCAGGCTTGACTAAGGTTGCAGAGGCTCTAGATGTCAACGGGAAGCAGAACGGAGATAACCTACGTGTCGTAACTGAAAAGGTTAGCTATGCTGACTTCGCCACTGTCGCGCCACTCCTGTGTGAAAAATCAATTGTCAGTAAGCAACAGTTTGATACACTGAAAGAGTGGAATGGGAGGAGATGGAGCAAAGTTCTTGATGAGATTGAGAAAGCAGGTCTCCTTCATGTCAACTAGTCGTCGCAATACATTCCGAAATTACCAGATATTCATGTTCATGTGTAGATTCTAGAATAGAGAAAAGTCAAGGACTTGTGAGAGATAAAGAAATTTGTTGTTCCGAGATCTAGTGTTAGCTAATTGTGCATTGCCTGCATCGTGAATCCTGTCCTCATGCTGCCATTCGGGAGAATATCAGTACTAACATGGGCACTTTGGGAACTCTACAGGTTTGTCTGTTTTAAATGAGCTGCAAAAAATTGTTGTCCTGAACAGGTGTTCCATGTGATTGCCGCGCCGCCAGGATTCTTCTTATTTGGTCCAATGAGAATGGGATTCTGACCTAAACTTAGAGAAGAACGAACCTGAGCAAGGGAGCCCTTCCAAAGTGCTTGACAACAATTTCCACGCGTGAACTTGATCATTGATTGCGGGCTAAAACTCTAATGACTCATGAGCAGAACTCGAAGTTACGACGATTACGTGTTGATGATGCTAGAACGGTTCTTCCTCCTTTCCCGCTCTCTTTCCGCTCTCTTTCCAGGTCAGCCGTTTTTCCCGTTGTTCTCGCTATCCTTGCCGTCTAAGTTTTGACCATCATATTCTTATAAATAAGCTAATCGTAACATGGGCACATGGTGTAGCTGGTTATCGCGCTCGCTTTGCATATTGACTTGCGAGTGGTCTCCGGTTCGATTCCGGATGTGTCCAGTGCTTTTTTCGCTTAACTTGCGGATATTCTTACTCGAGTCCACGACTCTTCTGCCACGGATTTATGGTATGTTTTTCTAGATTTTTCTTCTGAAAGCTCACACCTGCAAATTAGACGAATCTGGACAATGGTGGATATATAGCAATTTCGGGAAACGCTGCTGAAACACAAGGTAGACCGGATGATGAATCCTCCCCTCGAGATTCTGCGCGAGAACCGCTCTTGCCACAGAGAAAGACCAAGCTTCGAGGAACATTCCAGCTTCATCCAGACGGATACTCGTACAGCTACTCGTATGGACCGAAAGGAGTCGTGGGCCTGCTACATAACTATTACGCTTTGCTCTGCGCGTTCTTCGCATCTATTGGGGGCTTGACCTTTGGTTATGATCAGGGCGTGGTGCGTGCAGAACCTACTCCCTTTCTTTCCCAACTGAATTTCCAAGATTGCCAATGTCTTAGTTATGACTGACTTTCTACAACGATGGCCCATTACACCCCTGCAGAAAGGGAGTATGAGTAAGTTTACCCTTCGATAGATAATTCCGCACGCTGATAGCATACGTCACAGCTGCTGTACTAGAACTTGGTGCCCTACTCGGAGCTTTAGGTGCCGGAACTCTTGCAGACCGATACTCGCGTCGGCATTCGATATTTGTGGCTTGTGGTATGAATTCTCTCGATTCTTACCAGAGTTGTCACTTAATTGGCATCCTATCTAGCCGTCTTCTGCATAGGATCCTGTTTCCAATGCGGTGCGCAGTCTCTGAGCCATCTTTTCATTGGACGTGCCGTTGGCGGAGTCGGCGTTGGGGCATTAAGGTACGTTTTCAGCCCTCAACATACATTTTCTTTATACATTGGGTCGATCCAGTATGTTGTCTCCGTTGTACATGGCTGAAATCAGTCCACCTGAGGTCCGGGGGTCTCTCATGTCATTAGAACAATTCTCCATCGTTCTTGGCGTTGTATTCGGATTTTGGACAGGCTTTCTAACACGTTCCCGTATGTCAAAACTCTCCCACGACAAATTCAGATAGCTCACCCTCTGGCAGTCCCATCATCAGCGGCATGGCGGATACCACTCGGTATACAACTTGTGCCAGGTGCTATTTTAGGCTTTGGATGCTTTTTCTTACCGCCATCACCGAGATTGCTTGTCCTTCATGGTCGATACGACGATGCGATGGCAACTCTAGCACAACTGCGCTTGAGATCATCAGAGGAGGCACGGCACGATCCGCTGTTACAAGTATGGCTCTTTGTCTCGACTTCTATCTCATGTTTGATGATCAAACTCTCAGATTGAACTGCTCGAGATGAAAGTTGAGACTGCCTTAGTCCAACGTGTGCTTAATGATGGTGTCAACGAACGTGACAACCTACTCCGGCCGTGGAGCCTCGAATCTGAATTGCACGCATGGAAGCGGCTCTTTCAGAAGAAGTACAGAGATAGGACCTGGATTGGTGTGCTGGTCATGGTCTTTCAACGTAAGGTCATTCGATCTGATTCCCCAGAACCCACATTCAAATCCCTGGCTTAGAATGGAGTGGCATCAACGCTCTTCTTTACTACGGTCCTACCATTGCACGAAGCATTGGATTACGCGGCGATACATCGACTCTGTTAGTATCGGGTGGCATCGGGATCGTCCAGTTCCTAGCTGTCATACCTACCATCCTCTATATCGATCGTGCCGGTACGTTAGTATAGATAATAACCGTATCGGACAGCTTAATGACCAGAATTAGGTAGGAAGCCACTTCTACGAAGTGGTAGCGCCTTGATGGCTCTTTCTCATGTTAGCATTGCATTGCTGGTATGCCAACCATTCTCATCATGATACCACTTACTTAGCGTTCTCAGGTTAACTTATTTGAGTCTGATTGGTTGGCACATTCAACAGCGGCATGGGCAGCAGTTGGGTGCGTTCTTTGTGGGTTGCCTTTGATATTTGCTGATGAAGTTGTGTGCTTGGTTAGCGGAATATATACATTCACAGTCGCCTATGGAGTATCTTTTGGACCCATCGGCTGGGTTCTTCCTAGTGAAGTCTTCCCTCTTTCAATGAGGAGCAAAGGCGTTGCTCTCTCAACAGCCTCTAACTGGTTCAACAATTGTATGTCGCCCCCTTCTCTAAACTCAAATGTATCATCCAATGTTTGTCCCAGTCTTAATTGGACTGATGACGCCAGTCCTTGTAGACTATTCTCCAGCGTGAGCGTGGGTATGGTCATTCCACGCCATTTGCTGACATCTCGTACTGCACGATTTAGTGGCACCTTCATGATTTTCGCGATCGCTTGCGCACTCGCTTACTTTTGGGCGACTTACTCTGTTCCTGAAACAGCTCACGTATCTCTCGAAGAGGTCGATGCTGTTTTTTCATCGTCCGTTGGCAGGGAGGATGCCCAGTTGAAGGAACAGGTGCGTTTCTGACTTCTCGATCCTTTGAGTCGTTGCCTTCTGAACTTCATTTCAACTCGGTCAGATTGAGGAAGATCTGGGACTTCGTCATCTTATCGGGGAATTAGGAGCTGATTATCGTTGAACTTTTGCGTGATACCTTCATCTCATAATACATAATACACGATAATTCTCCAACTCAGGCGAACATAGGCTTTGCACTTGATGATTATTCCTAAAGTCAAAGAAATGTATCCGAATCAACTAAGAAAACGTGCATTTTGTAAAGCTATTGTAATGATACAGATGAGACCATTTATATAGAAAGTTGAGTCCATATTTACCATCGTCCTCTAGAGAAGAAGCCTATTGCTAGTAGCTAAAAATCATGGCGCGACAACAGTCCAGCAATCCTCTCCCATTCCGAAATCCCTCGCACTCGAAATTTTCGCGCCGACTTCACCCATGGTGGAAGTAGGGTCAAAGATGGTGATGGGCATTGGCAGGGCGCGCCTTCTTCGTGGAACATGAGTATCGTCCGAGGCGAGCTCAATACGGCCCTTATGCTCTTGAGTTTTGACCTCTGCGGGTAGCTCGCTGAGATACAAAGGGAAAATTACGCCTCGCCTCTTTTGAAGGGACAAGCCGCTGTTCGAGGAGGTTGATGATGACGAGAAGGTAGATGTTATGGAGTCGACAGACGTAGAGCGTGTATGGAATGATGTGCATGAAGGTGTCTGTGTGCATGGAGACCTGGATGCAGCGCAAGTAGTTCCAAAGACAAAGGACATCGTAGTGGTTGATCGAAGGTCAAATGGGAATTTGGATTAAGTGGAGATGCGCTGCAAGTCGTAGAGAATGAGATGATGGATTAGAGTACAATATTCGAGACTTGAGTAAAATTAAATGGAGTGGCTGTAGTTTATATTCCTTTGTCCGAGGTCGTTATATAAATTCTTGAGTTGATGCGGTGTATGTGAAACGGCACCAGGAGCTTGTTGTATTGGTAGTCTGAGGCGCAGCCTTTTTATGCGTTCTATCGTAGCCTTGACGACAGGGAGACCTCATCATGAGTCACATACGAACGATGATCTATCTGTTGCCCGTTGTACTTCAGAGCAACACAGCTTTTGGCTTTCCCATGGGCCCGAATTCTCCCTCCTTCAGAAGACTTCAGAATTATCACCAGAAGGAGTCCTTCCTCGCCAGCAGACACGATGACACAGACGACAACGGATCCTTCCTATGGACGCCAACGAAACTCGCGTACTCATTCTGCACTTTAATCCCTATGGCCCATAGCGACGCAGTGATAAAATCAGTGATTGCGTTTACCCACATTACACTGCATATGTACGGCACAACAAAATCAAAGTCGTTTGATGCCAGAAGAGATGAACAACTGCGCATAAATCACAGCTGAAAGTGGTACAGGTAAGTACCATGTAAGTATGATGTCGACACACGCTAGACGTGATTGGACAGCTAATTGTGTGAGTCTGTATCGTAATTGAGATCAATCCCTCGCCTTCATTCGAACGACATTTGAACTCTGTTGAAGATGGGAACAAACCTTGTCTCATAAGTTGATCTTCAAAAATCTGTTTCAAAGAGTTTCCCAAAAACTTCGTTTGGTGACTTATCGAGAAAGTAATAAAGGGACAGAATTTAAGTTCATACAATAAGACTTTCAGGTGGCCCAAGATAGCTTGGCATCAGAACACCAGTATCTAAGAGGAGAAACATTTAATGACGATAGCAGGTCAAGTATAATTAATGGACTCACTAATTACAATCTTTTCGACCACGACTGCAGGTTCAATCATTGCAATCTATAGTATATTGAGTCCGGAGTTCTCTGAGATGTGAATGGTCACATTCATACCTTCAGCGTGTGTGGGCCAGGCGTGACTCCGGTAACCTGTGCGACAGCACTAATGATATTGTTGGCAGCAAAACCATCATTGCCACCCCACGCCGCTGGGAAACCACCAGGTGGAGCTGGAGGAAAGAAATACAGAGCTTGTGGAGCCTGTGAATCAAGTTGGACAGCGAATCCTAGTGGACGATCCTTTTCGCCGGCGTTGAAGGATGGATTGACAAATGTGGTTATTGTCAGATTACCACTCCCACCAATGGTATTGAAATTGTAGAAGTCGTACTCCCTGTGAGACTCACTCAAAAACAAAGATTGCTTCCATTGCCAATAAGACTCACACACTAGGGCCTGCACCTGCGGTATAATTTGCCTCGTTGTTTCCGAGATGCGGCCATGGGGTGATGGCTGATAGCGTACGGCCGTAACGCGGAAGAACTTTCCATGAGACCCCGGAAACGCTTGTATTGCGAGATGTATGAGCGGCTTCAATTGAAATGACGCCTGCTCCTTCGACAAATCCTGTTGAATCCATCAGCAAGCTGCTTACAGCAATGCAATCTACCAAGAATGATTACCTTTGAAGGTGGATGGCAAGGTATGTTTTGTAACATTGAAGTTCACGGGTACAGAGAGTGGCAGCTGGCTGAAGGGATTTAAGGCCGTCGTCGTAAATGTCAAGGTAGCCGAGGATGTTCCATCTGGGAGTTGAGACCA